TAAGTGTCCCGCGTCGTTCTTGCGGGCGAGACGGTAGCGCGGGGCAAAACCTGTTAATCCTGGACTATGAAGCCTGTGAAAGAGGCACACCTGCCTGTATTTTTAGCAGAAAACAAGTGAAGTATGAGCTACCAGTACCTTAAGTCATCAAATGTCATTAGACAGATTGAAGAGGGATAAATGAGCAGAAATGAGACAGTGTTTTTAGCTATGCAGGCAATCCCAAGTCTCTCCATAGTCTTTGGAGAACACCAGCCTTAGGAGCAGTGCTTGCCATTAGCTGTGGAGTCCAAGAGGCTTGAAGATTTTCCTGCGGGGGGAGGATTTAGTCTACCTGTCTTGGCAGGATGAGATGATTGATCCCCCAGTGTAGCATCCAGGAAACTGATGAGGTGGAAGGCAGCTTTTTTTTCTGTGTGGGTGGCTTTGCCATAACCAAAGACAAGCCTCCAGGTAGACGGTCTTTTGCAACCATGCATCTTTGGAGGAGCTATGGGATGCTGCAGGAGCTGGCGTGTCTCTTTGTTAGAAGGAAGGTCTTTTGTTAAATGCCATACTCTCAGATCTGTAAAGACACTTAAGAATTGGGTACCATTACCTGTTAGTTATATTTAAATTAGATATAAAGTTAAATTTAGACATGTATTTTACCCAATTAGTTACAGCTTACCAATGCTAGTAAATGTCAGAAGATTAAGAGGAGTATTTTAGTAAGTTAAAGAATTTTGGAGGTGGAATGTCTCCTTGGTAGGTCTTGCACACATGGGTACTCTTATCAAAGATGGTGGTGAGGTCCAAATGGTGACTATACACATGTTTGTAATTTTCCAGAGCCGTTGTTATCTGAAGTTATACGTTTTACAGATCTTAAAACACACACACACATACACACAGAGAAATAAGACAAACATACTATGGATATAAGCACACATATACAGATAGACATAAAAGCATAGTGTGGCCACATTATTTTAACAGACAGTCAAATGGAACTATTTTGGGAACCAGTGTCAGCTGACCAGCTTAATTATCCTAGTGTAGGCAGCCGGCAGAAGCCAGGGAAGCACACAGGTGGTCCCATTAAGGACCAGATTAGCAGACGCTGCAAGAGAGAACAGAAACATAAGGACAGAACACCTATACAGTTTTACAGTGGAAGAACAGGGGAAAGAATGATCTGTTGAGACAGCGTGAGACAAACAGCAAACAGCTAGAGAAACAGGGAGGGAGTAGGCGCAGGAGCACAGCATCCAGAAGCCATGGGTGTGTGGGCCTTGTTTGTTTCACATTAGGTGTTAGATAGCCCCAATTTAAAAGGATTTTTAGTAAAAGGCAGCCCAAGGGCATCTGAGGATCTGGCTTCGAATACAAGTGTCCATTTTTACAAGTCTATGCCAAGTCTCAGGATTCACATGCCTACCGCAATGTGTCCACTGTGATAAGACTCTTGAGTCAGAAATGAAGGGGTGTGAGAATTGTGTGGGCAGATGTCTCTGTCCTACACAATCCCACCTCAGTGAGGACTGCCTTGCTGCTTATGATGGGGTCAGGTGCCTGGCACATCCGTGACTTCAACAGACAACCCGGCAAACGTATGGGCCCTGGGCCCAAGTGGCATGTACTTGGAAAAGAGGAACTCAGGCAGACAAAGCTGATCTTAGCCTGCGTTTTCCAGCACATAGCCTGGGCCAGTGGGAAAAAATAGCCCCCTTCCCAGTGGGACCTCCAAATCTTAAGCTTTTCTGACAAACCTATCCACTGACACAGTACTCCAAACCAAACCAAATGAGACCGAGTTAGAAGAAGCCCAGGTTTAATGAATGGCAGTGCTCCTGGGAAGCCCCTGGAAAAACTAGGAGAGGGAAGTGGGAGATTACATATTCATTCTCTGGGAGGACAGTTTAAATAGCCTGTGGGAGTGGTATTGACCCTCCCTGGAGAGGGGTCACCGTTTGCTGGGCTTTCTCGGAGGTGAAGTCTGGACTGAGGCAGCTCCCAGGCAAGGAAACTTTGAAATGGAACTTCCCACCCAACATTCCAAAATAGATGCCAAGGTGCTGGGGTGAAGTCCCCAACCAAACATTCCAGACTCTTTGGAGAAAGGGGTGCCAGGGAGCTGAGGTGATGCTGCCAACCAAACAGTCATTGTTTGTTGGACTTCCTTGGAGGCTGAGTCTGAACTGAGGCAGCTCCAGGGAAGGGTGCTTGGGCTGGAGCCCCCCACGTGAACATTCCAGACTCTTTGGGTATATGGATGCCAGGGGCTGGGTGAAGCCTCCATCCAAACATCCCAGACTCTTTGGGTATATGGATGCCAGGGGCTGGGTGAAGCCTCCATCCAGCATCTAGAGTATCACTCTTTTGGTGTGGGGCTATGAGCTAACTCCATGGATAGAAGCATTTGTCACGAAAGTCTGATGACGTGAATATCATCTTGGAGATCCATGGTGGAAGGAGAGAACAGATTCTAGAAAGTAGTGTTCTGACTTCCTCACATACACCATGTCATGGGTGCAACCTCTCTCATATATCCATCATACTTACACAGATGCACGTATCATATATACACATACACGCAATAACGGGTTTTTTTTTAGAGAAAGAATCTCTCTCTGACTTTGTCTAAGAGGTTGACTGATTGATGCACAGGCTCCCTTTCGTCCATCTATTCTGCTAGTGTGACTGAGGCAATAAAGAACAGATTCAGTGAACTGCTGGTATCCTTAAAAGTGCAAGATGTTGAGACAAAAAAGAATGTAAGTTTTAGACAGAATGGGGTATTTTATAAAACTGCATTGAATTTTTTTTAATTTTCTGAGAATCTTACACAGTGCTCTTTATCATATTCCTGTCTCTTCCCTCCAGCTCCTCCCAGATCAACCTCCATTTCTCTACCCACCCAACTACGTGTTTGTGTTCTCTCTTTCTCTCTCCCCCCTCCTCTCTCTCTCTCTCTCTCTCTCTCTCTCTCTCTCTCTCTCTCTCTCACACACACACACACACACACACACACTCTAACCCATCAAGTAAGTTACATTTTTTTCTTTAAGAAAATGAGACTTTACCCAGGAAAGTGGAAGGGTGGAGTTGTTTCCTGTTTGGCGCTGGTTGAGCAGAGAAATGTGCGTGCTGTTTGAGAGTCTGATTCATAGTGGCAGGAGGCCTAGAACGTCCTGCAAGATGGAGCCTGGCCTTTGGGTGCAGGAAACCCCAAGAGTCATCATACCAGCTCTGTGGGAAGCCCAGCAGTGTGTTCTCAGTCAGTGTGAATCCCGAAGAGAGTTTTCAGTAAAAGGTTTTATTCTTTTTAGAGACTAAAAAGTTAACCAACAGCCTAAAGCTATGTCATTAGCATTTCCCCAGTTAGTGTGGTGTGAACCAACATGCTTGTGCCTGAGCTCCCTTCAGTGTGGTGTGGGGAGAAGAAGGGGCTTGCTCATGGCGCTGGGGAAGCAAGAGAATGGCAAGACTGCAGTTCAAAAGCTGTTCCTCTGCTCGAGGTATTTGAACTGCTGCTGCTCTGGTGTCCTTCCCGCCTGCTATCGGCTGTGACTGTGTTTTTCGAGGTCTTTGTCAGTTCTTCAGTCTGGTGCTCTGCCTGGTGACTGAGTCTTTCCTGTTCGCATGCTGATCATACTTGGAAATTATGAGTCATTGAAATGCAGCCATGAACACTGAGGGTGGGGAGATTAGTAGGGAAAGTGCAGCCAGGACTTCCTGTCTCAACTCAGGGTCATATCTAGGGGGCAATCTGGGGACTTCTATGTGATAGAACACCCACATTCACCTGCATTTGCATTTCACAGACCTGATTTGGGGGCTATGTGGAACTCCAATACAAAAAGAAACAATTTAACCTTTTGTAGACCTCAGGGTGGACCTTCCACTTCCTGTTAGCTGGTGAGATTTCACTGTTCACATTTTCCTGCCCCTTCCAACGCCCAGCAGCTGCAGCCCTACTGAAAACAACCGGGTATGCTTGGTAATATTACTGATTTAACAGGAATTAGAAGACTTACGTTCAGAGAGTGCAGGTAATTGACACCAACAACATTCTTCTTGTAATTCATGCACTATGGTTGATTCGTTCCCCAGCCAGGCCTCCAAGAATGACCACAGCCCAGGCAGCTATCATATTACCTTGCAGAGGGTTTAAACAAGCCCTGCTCTGCTAGCCATGCTAGTGCTGGCAGAAAGTTGCTTAGTGATCGGGGTTCAGAGGTCACCTAATTATATGCTGACCTAAAAGAGTTCAGCCTTAGAACGTTCCTTACTAAGGGACAATTGTGAAGTCAACATAATAAAGAGGGTTTGTCACTGACAACAAGGACATCACAGGTGCAGCATTTATTGATAATTTTGGGGTATACTTAAAGTGTGTGAGTGTTTATGTGTGTGTGTGAGTGTGTGTGTGTGTATGTGTGTGAGTGTGTGTGTGTGTGTGTGTGTGTGTATGCGTGTGAAGGTCAGAGGTCCAGACTCAGTGTCTTGAGCCAGGTGTGGTGGTCCACACCTTTAATCCAACTCCTCAGGAGGCAGAAGCAGACAGATCTCTGAGTTTCAGGTCAGCCTGATTTGCACAGTGACCTCTAGGATAGCCATGGGAACAAACAAACACAGAAACAGAAGGACTGCACTGCGTGTCTTCTGTAACCATTCCTACAGCTTCCAGGACAGAACTTACTTGGGTGGTAAGGTCATGAAGAAAGGATAAATAGACAGACACAATAGCATCCGCTTGGGTAGCCTTAGTTCTTTGATGAGATGAGAAACCTCAGCATTTGTTGAAAAGTTGAACAGAGAGGTGGGGTTATTACACACAGTTGAACAAAGAGATAGGTTTAGCCAGTCTTCGTAGGAACCATTGCTGTGGGGGAATAATCTTCAAGCCATTAGTATCTGGGGTAGGAAGGCTATGGTGGACATTTTCTGCACAAATTGTCAACACCCACACACCAACAAGAGGGACACTTGTAGGCTGGCTGGCTAGTGAGCTCCAGGGTCCCCCTTGCCTCTGCCTTCCCAGTGCTGAAGTTACAAATCACATTGTTTGGCTGGATTTAACATGGGTTCTAGGGATCTGAACTCAGGTTTGCATGCTTGCTAGGAACTTTACCGACCGGACCATCCTCCCACCTCCAAGGGTGTGTCTCATACTCTGTAGGTAGATAAGTTTGCTCTGAAATCCCCTAAGCCAGTTACACTCCCTGTACTGGTGTTCTTCTAGACGGCCCCACTGCAGACATTTCCTTGGGTGGGATGTGAATCATGATGCATCGCCGCACTTCATGCCAACGCTGCACTCTAATTAACAATGCTGAACACAAGATGTTTGATAAATGAGGATCAGATGTATTATTAGATCCATGGATTCTACTCTCAAAATCTGAGGGAACAAAATGGGAAAGAAGAGGTTGCCAGTACAGTGTTAGATAAATCATGATTATGTTTGCCTGCTTATTTATGGCAGACAATTCTGGGACTGAGCAATTTCTCTAGCTTCCTATTCCTTCACTTGACTTTAATTCAACCATTTGAAATAATGCAGAGATGTCACCTTGCTGTCCTGCTAATGTCCCTGGGGCTTTGCTGTCCTGTTGACACCCCTGAGCTTTTGTCTAGTTCTCTCTGCCTTAGAGGACCCACCTTGTTCTTCCTTGGGAGAAAGAGCTCTGATTCTTCAAGTCTTCTGGAATGGGGTGGCATCTCTGATATAGTGCTTCCATACCTGGCGGGCAGGCGGGCAGGCGGGCAGGCAGGCGGGCGGGCAGGCAGGCA